TCTCTGACATTTATTATATTCCAGAGAAAACATCCCTGTCAATAATAAATTGAATGTTGCATTCCTTTTTTGTCATACTAGAGAAAATGTAACATGACAGAACATCTCAATTCGCTGTAGAACCATGGGGTATAAATCCTTTTCTTTCATCTCCAATTCTTCTTAACATCCTGCATTCATTTTTTCAACTGCAAAATGTAAAATTTAATTTTGCAGGGCACTCTAACAGAAGCAAATTTTCTTAGAGTTGGAATAGCTTGATTTACTATCCATTGATTTATTCAGAAGTGATTAACTTTTTTATGCTCTTAAAAGTATTGATGAATATATAGTTGCAATCCTTGAGAACTAACAGTGAGGTGTTAAACAATGTTTATATACTGAGAATAGAAACAACTAAAACCAATAAAAATATGTTCTGCAACTTGGTGTAAGCAGCTGTTTAATGATATTATAAAAGGAAGGTCTAAAACTGCGATGGTGTTAAGTAGTTTTATGTAAGTATCAGAATTTTTAGAAGTTTTAATGTCCTAAATTGGAAAAATAAAAAATTAGCTGATAATTGACTGGTTTTTTACCAGTTCGTCAGATTTTAGTCAATTTTTTACCCATTGATTTTGAGGTTCAATTAGACTGGTTCATTGGTTTCAGTCGAACTGACCGGTCTAATTTGATTTTTGAAACATAACTAAATAGACTCCAAGTGCATACTAACTAATATGAATTTTAAAACATAACTCAATTGAGTCCTTTCAAATGCATACATAAGTATTGAGTTGAAGCATTGTGAAAACTTACCTTTTAGCATGCTTTAAAAGTTGTGTATCTTAATGCAGTTGCTTTAAAAGTTGTGTATCTTAATGCAGTAATTCAAATCATGCTTTTTCTTTTATTCAATAATAAGTGAAATTTCAATGTTTTTCTAAGCGGCAATGTTTATGGTTAAATCACTTGTGTACTCATGGGGTTAGCATATTGTGTGGTGTTCTTGTTAATCAGAGGTCACGCACTCAGGCAACTGTTGACAGCATAAAAATCTTCAAGACTCCCAGAAAACTCATTCATTCTCTTCAAGATTCAAGTGATTTGACTTTGGGTTCCTCTAAGAAACAGAATAGAAGGTTCAAGTGCCAATCCTCAGGCAATATTGAGTGGAGTCCAACTTCTAAATATGACCACGAGGGTTTCTCAAATGATGTGCAGTATGACAGTGAAGCTATTGAAAGTTGTGCGGAGATTGAGTTTCAAGGTGGCTCAGAGTCAGTCTCATCGACAGATGACCTTCCTGTATATGCCAATAAGAAGATGCCAATCAAATTGGTTCCTGAAAATAGAAATGCTACACCAACTGCACTACAAAAGACTAAATATAAATTGGTTTGTGGTCTTTCATTTGTTCTTCTTGCAGTGGCCACTCCTTTACTTTGGATCAGTAGTCAGGATGAAGCTCATTATCTTGTACCGACATAACATCTTCATTCCTTTGTATATCTTTTCAGAGTAGGTGTTAATTCCAACAATGTTGGAAAATTAAGTGGTATGGCCCATTGAGCATCTTCAACGACAATTTGTTTTCCTGTATACACTTATAAAACTATTTCATGGAATTTTACTTTCTAGTGAAGGGGTTAGATGAATGGAGCTTTTTGTTGTTATGTTCAGTTAAAACTGAAGCTGATGATGCAAATACTCGATCTCACGAAAATGTTATGATTGTGTTCGTGGTGGATTCTTTGGTTTAAAGTTTTACTTCAACTTATAAGATTTGTAAGGAGGATTGAAATTTAGGTATTGGGATATTTCTCTTTATGCACTATGGCTCACTTCACTGAGGCCCATAACTCATTCATGCATTTCTAAATCTAACACAAAGATAAAAAATTAAACATGTAATTTTAGTCTAGCATGCACAGTTCTCTATTTAATATTTACATGTAAAATCTTGTTAAATTGGCTTCTATACACTTAAAATGTTATCTATTTGGTTCATTTAACTGCTCTTTCTATATGCATTTTCAATTTAATCTTTATACATTGAAGTTTTAATTGATCACTCTAAGTGTAGCACATTTTTAACAGTGGCAGGTTCAAAATTAATAACGTTTTATATGTAAAAGAACTCATCCAACAAAATTTTGTATAAGGATTGAATTAAAACTTTTCTACACTTACCTAAAAGTATATGTTTAACCGAAAAAAGAATAGCTCTTAAATTAAAAACTCTTATATATTAAAGTATTTTGAAAGTACAGGTAACTTGAATAGTGATTTTAGACAATCAGAATTTTAAAGTTTTTTAACGAGTGTCGACGAAATCCAACGACGTTGGATGATCTTTTGATGGATAGTTCATTTGAACTTTTCACAAGAAAAATTTATGAAAATAACAAATGAAAATAAAATTTGTGTTTTGTTCCAATGAAATTAGAAGATAACAATTGTAATCCACTAAGGAAATGAAAATGAAGTAAAAACACTTAGGTTTCTAGTGATTTACTCAATTTGAGTTATGACTATTTCTTTGTCACCCATTAGGAAAGGATTCTAACAGTATAACTTTTTTTTTGTTATCATCAAAATTATTGGAATGATTGAACTACACTTTGTGCATAGTACAAAACTTAATTGTTTTCATTCTTTTATAGGGCACTTATTTTATGTGGATAGAGAAAATTATATGAAAAACTCACACTGAGTGAATCAACTAAAAATACTTTGATTTTTGAAAAAAATTGATGAATTAATTGATAGATGTGTAATGTTTGAATGCAAGCAAAGAGGAGTTGAGATAACAACATCAAATTTCGTTCAACGTTTAAACAAAATTGATAGAGGCACTTGTTGTGTGTGTGCGCGCTCATCATGCACAAGTTCCAAAATAAATCAATTACATCCTTTGAAAGTTTAATAGCAAATCTTCATAATTAAGGTTCTGTAATAGGTTTGCTGGGTAGAAAATTTGGTTGCTAAGTGAAATTACAGTTAAGTTAATTGACAAACTTTGATATTTTCGCTTAACAAATTTTTTTTTCCTTCATCGATTTTGTTATTCCAAGAACAATATTTTTAGACGTAATTCATTGAGCAAAATTTATGTTTGCTAAGCAAATTTCATTAATCATTTTTTATAATTTTTTTTTATTTATCTTTCTTACAAAAATAATAAAAAAATTAGTTAAAATTTACAAGCAATAATTTAAATACAAAGATATTTATTTTATTTTTTTCAAAACTATGTATATAATTAATAATTAAATAAACTAAATATATATAAAATATATTAATAAAAATATTGATAAATAAACACACACACACGTTTACACAAGGGCACACATGCACACACATAGACAACGTGTGAAGGGACACATATGCACGCGCACACATACACTTTATCTATTTCTTCCTTTTAATTTTTGTTTTTATCTTCTTTGCTACTGTTTCTTTACTAGTTTTTCAAATGCGTTTTTACTCTTTTTCAAGGTTGATTTATTGATTAAAATTTATTTTGTATGGTTTAGATTTTGATCATAACGATGTTAATCGATTATAATCCATTATAATTAATGTAATTAAAATTATTTGATTGAATGTCTCGTCTTACATCATAATTTAATTTTTAAATTTAAGTGACTGTTCAATTTAGAAATTGAGTTATATTTTAATTATTAATAATTTTTATGGATTTATATTGTGATTGGAAGCAAATGTATAAATCAATGATAATCAAGTGGATGATTGAAGATTTAAATTGTTTTCTTAATTATGTTTTTACTACATTTTTATAAAATAGATTTACATGTTATCTTTTATTATTTTCTTTAAAATGTTTTGATAGCTTAGATTTATAAGCTTTCTTTTACAGTGTTCGTTTCTATACTTCCTTTACAGTTTTCATTTATATTGTCTGCACTTTATTGCTTTTTTAACATGTTTTATTAGTTTAGATTTATTATTTTTATTTAATGTTTTTTATTTACTTTACTAATTTTTTTAGTTTAATTTACTACTTTTCTTAGGAATATAGTTTTATTACATTTACTTTAGTGTTTTTATTGTTCAGATCATCATTTAATCTTACTATGTTTAAATCTATTTTGTTCAAATCATGATTTAAATACCCTTGTAATCAAAGTTGTGAAAATTTTATACAAATGCATTTTATCATAGAATTAAAATTATAAGACATTTTATAAGTCTTTGTGGATTATGGATAACAATCAAGTTTGTGGATAAAATTAATTTTTCCATCATGTGTTTTATATACAATGATCATTTGCAAAGATACGTGTGAAATGTTGAAATGATTCGATTATTGAATTACTTTTTGTTACTAATCATCCAAGATGCAGAGTAATTCTATCCAAATGACGAGGCTAGTAATTCTACCCTTTCTCTAGTGGGCCAAAATCTGTCTCAACATGAAATCATAACCAACAAAATGTACCTAAAAATATTATCGTGTAACTTCTTACCGAAGTGATTGTATAAATGGTATTAAATTCAGGTTTTTTTTAGTATAGTTTCGGTCAACTATTGTGAATGGAAAATGTGGTTGAAGAAGAAATTCTACTAAAGTTTATTAAAAGTGTAAATTACGGGTTAATAACTTTTTAGCTTAATCATAATTAGGTTCTTCTTGCTCAAATAACAGGTTTTATCTCATGTGAAATACAGTATTCGTAGTTTTGATAATTTAGGCTCCAAAATGTATTGAAGGAATCCATTGAAATAAAAAATCTGCAAGCATTATGTAACTTCGTTTATTGATATATAGTATTTTAATATTGAACATATAGATCAAATAAACAAAATATATGTAGTTTTAGGGAAGAACAATACACCTGCTCCAAAAAGGAAAAACTTAAAAAAAATAAAATGGAATGAAAGATGGGGAAGAGAGAATGTTCAGTGGGTTTGGTTTTTCAACTTTACTAAGCTTAGTTATATTTTAAGTTTCACAACTCAAACACGATTTGATACTTGTAAGGTGAACACAGTAATCATGTTAAATTATCATGTTCAATCACCTGTGCCCCTCTCCATTCTTCACCAGGATTCACAGTCACAGGCACCAGTAATGAAGCAGGGCCAGTGCAGATGAAGTAGTCCTTTCCGTATTTCTTTGACAAGGAACCAGGGCTTGATAAATAAATATCCTCAAAACCCATTCTTATCACCCTGAAGAAAATCCCACGTCCCTGAAAATCAACAGGAACTATCCAGTAAAAGCTTTCACTAAATCTAGTGCATGAAAAAATTCCAACAAAATGTTAGTTTTAGTTGATACATGAAACAAAAATTTGTAGTTTCTGATGAGATTTTACAACCGCATTACTTTTTATCAATTAGTAAATCTGAATTTAAAAATATTCTGAAGAGCGAATTTTTCGGATGTTTTGTTTTAGAGGGTACACTTTGATAATCATTCTAACCTGATCAATGGTTTCATACTTGGAAGGAGAGCTGTTATAGAATGTCTTTAATCTTTCCTCTGGAGGCGCAGCATAAACTCTACTCATCTTATTCTCAAGGAGAGTCATAGTCAAATCTTGTTTACCCCACGTGCCCGACTTAACTTCAGGTTCAGCACCAAAGGAAAACCATCTAGGAGGCTCAGATAATGTAGCTTCTGATGGAGTCAAGATTTGAAAAGGGGAAGATGGAGGAGAGTGAGGGATATATGAACAGCTTCTGAGGCCTTGAACTGCTGTTCCAGCTCTTGTCTTAGACCTAAAATGGCTCAGTATAGCGTTGGTTAGAGTGGCAGGCTTAGGGCCAAGGTTCTTAGCTACCACTGCTGTGGCCATGCTCACAGGATAGAGAGTCACAATGTATGCGATGTCAAAAAATCTACTAGTGCAGCTCAATTCAACCTGAAAATAGAACCAAGAAACAAAAGCAAACACCAAGTTTCAATTTCTAGCTTCACATGCAAAAGAAGACTAACTTCCTGATAAAAAAAGAATAAAAAATAAGAAAGTAAAACGAATCCAGTTTCTCATTCAAAAAAAGAAAAATCAATTTATATACTTTAAATTGTTATAAAATATTTATTATATAACTTGTCTGAAAACCACGGTGCATATACTAAAATTTATCCTAACTGATCTTGAGGTAAGTGACAGATGACTCACAAGCACGTAAGCAAAGGGGAATGAAAGGGTACCTGGAGAGCATCTATGGCATCAGAGTCAACATCAGTTACAGTCCACTCTAAAGTGGAAGGGAGTAACCCTTTGGCTCCAGGTTGCAGTACTTCATTCATAACCAAACCAACCCCACCTTTAGCCTTGTAAGGACCCGCTTCAGTTGCAGGAATTGTGTATAGAACCTCCTCGAAACCATCATCTTTCCAATGAACTTTTGGTCGGTATGATGTGACATGAGCATCAGGTATCCTAAGCCTCAAGGAGCTGCCATTTCTGACTGTCAGCTCGACAATGGGGATGCTATCAGACTCCAAGAACTTGATGCCTTTTCTGCCAAATTTCTCAGTGAGTGAGTCAGCAGTGGGAAGAGTGGTCGTAGAGGTGTTAGCTGCTGAGGAAGCCTTTATTAAGTTCAGCTTGGGAAGGGATAAGGAAAGGAAAGAAGCCATGGAGAACTTGAAATAAGCTAGCTAGTTCATTTAACAGCGCTTCCACACAGACTAGTGATGAGCACGTTGTTGCTAAGCCTCACCCTTAACTGAACACAACTATCTATTTGGATTTTTATTTTGGATGACAATGCGCTTTTTGCTTACAAATGGGGCTTTATGCTGCCAACTAAAAAATCTTGAAAGGGTCGATCCAATAATTTCTGAACGGACAAGAAATACAACTCCGCTGTGCCACAAATCTCCTTTGTTATCCGTTTTGGCCTTTTGGGAATGATGACGACTCATTTATATTTCAAGTAATTAAATTTACTACCATTTAATCTGTTAATTAAATTCAATCAAATCCAATTCTTACATTTTTCTTTACAGTAGCCACCTCACTCGCGAAGATTAATTTACTTAGTCCCTGCTCGCCTTGTGGTTCATTTCAAAATTATCAGAAATGTTGTACAAGGTAAAGAGAAAATAAGTCTTTCATAATTTGCTGTGTTACATAATCATTGTCATTTTTGCTAAGCATGAATGCCTTCTTTTAACAGGAAAATTAATGTTTTCCAGCTCATGAGGATATGTTGGTTAACAATTTCTCAATAGGAATCGTTATACATGCATTTATTGTAAAGAATTATTTACAATTAAAAAATTGATCCATCAACATTATAGCAACACCCTATTATAATAATGCAATATATATTTTAGTTTAAATTTCTTTTGAACTACCATGAAATTTATGACTACCGAAAACGATAACGTTTAATTAAACAAAATAAAAATACGATTACATCAGATACTCCACTCCAGACCAAGATGACATAAGCATAGAGATTTTGAAATTCAAAAAACACCAGCACTCACAACATCACTAAGGAAAAGGCAAAAAATAATAAAAACAAAAATCATGGAATTACTATCATTGGTTTAACAGCTCTTAGAAGAGTCTTCAAGTGCTGTGGTCGATCCATCCCCTTCTAGGAGCCCCTCTGAATTCATTCTATCTTCTGCTGCATTTTCAGTGGCAGATTCATTCGCCAAGGTAGCATCTATAGACTTTGGCAATGTAAACCCTATTGTTAAATGACTGGATTTGCTTATCTGTTTTCAACAAAATATCTTGCAAGGTTAATAGATTATGCAATCCTTAATCTAGCTTACATGTAGAAGCAGAAAATTAGTGAAGCACAGCACTCTAAAATTTGCCGAAACATGTCAAATGTGTGTGGGAAATGCAAAGACAAGAATATTACCTGTTTTGGGAACTGTTGTTCCTTAGATTTCTTCTCCTGATTTGCCTTTTCCCGAGCCTCATAAAACCCAAAATCATCCAAGATGCATGTTTGGCTTGAATGCTCCTTGAAAATTTTGGCAACTTGAACTCCCTTCTCAAACTCAACCTGCAGAAGAGACATATATAAGCATTTAGTTGAAAGGACGTGGGGTTAATAGTCCAGAGTGCGCAACCAACATGGATCCTATGCTGCCTCCGCAGCAGAAATAATGATCATTGATCATATTCTCTCTCTTTACAAGTTACAATTATATTAACCAATCAATGGTCCTGATTTTGCAGCACTGTGGCTGCAGAGATTTAGCTGCAAGTTGATCATGAAACAAGATGCTAAGGAAATACCTCCTGCGTATCCCTGCTATTCGTTACAGGTTTGTTTTCATTGTTTTCTAGTGTTATGTGCCTCAACGCGCTATTTGGAATATCCTTTATGACATGCCACTTAACAGAAAAGCAACCAGTCCACCTGTCCTGCTGCCAATAATCTACACTTTTACTAAAATCAACAGGACCCAACATCTCTGCTAAACCAACAAATTGCCCACTAGTGTTGACCTGTAGCAAAAAATGAATGAGAAGAAAGAAGTGGATTAGAGAAGCCAAGAAAATCTAACAATTGGCCAATTAAATGCTGCATATGACACTGACCGAAAATAACAAAAATATGGGACAGCTACCAAGCTTCTCTTGTGCTTCTTGATATGCCGCTTCCAGTTTTTTATTGCCATTAGGGGTACTTGCCCAAACACTATACTTTATGCTTTTATGAATATCATCCTCACTATAAGATTTGATAACAAAAAACTTGGCCTCAGAATAATTATCAGAAAAATCTTTCCCACTGTATTGTTCCTTATTGGGTACCAAAGGACCTTCTTTGTTATCGGTCTTCAATGGAAGGTTCTGTCCTTTCAGCAATAATGTGACAGTTCCAGGACTCTTGATATTTTTATTATCAGAACTTTTGGCAGCTCTTGGTCCCTTATTTAGCTCACTGAAACCATCCATACTTTTTTTAAAATGGTTAAGGCCATAGCCATTGCCTGTGGCATTGCGCTTGTAATCAGCACATCCCATTCTAGATCCATATGCAGCAGATCCAAAACGAGAATTAACCCTAGATGTGTTCCCATGTTGGCCGTACATCCTGTTGCTTGGATACATCCCGTTCATGAAACTGGAAACCAATTCAAGTCCAGATGGATGTCTGGAACCATTCAAGTTCTGCAATTAAGAAATCATATCTAAGTTGAATTTAGAATTTATTTTACAAGGAGAAGCCATAATCAACACAGAGGGAGGATCTACTGCATCTACATGAAATGCATCATTTACATGGTATTATGGTCAGGTAAACGTGTATAAAAAAAACTAAAGCACTTCTAACATTAACAGATATGACAATATTGTAAATGGCAAGTTGGTTGATGAACATAGACTAATTTGTTTGGACATATTTAATTAAGAAAATACAGACAGCATAAAAGGCTTAGGTTAAAGGTTTTTATGGTGTTAAGGGAGAAAAAAAAACAATTAATTCAAGCTCACTTAGTCTGCATGGAAAATTTCACTAGGAAACAGGATCACCTCCAACATACCGCAAATGGTGGAAGTTGCTGAGGAAGTCCTTGATTCCTTTGAGAAGTAAAGTCTTTGACAGGTGCCATTGATGAAGATAATCCAACCTTGGCTCCAAGTTTGGACCGTCTATCAGATACTAAGGACACATCAGACAGGACTGGCAACTGTGTACCATGAGCACTCATTCTTGGGCCCTCATTTGCATGCAAATTTGTGTGCTGGGAACTTGTTAAAAATGAGTTTAACCCATTTTTGTTTGTAAAATCACTATTGGTCATGTTAACAATGTTTCCTTTATTAGTAACATTTGATGAAGCAACACGATCAGCATCAACTGCAGTTGATATTTCTCTTTGGGAAGCAGTTATTTTGTTCGGATTAAATGACACATCAGCAGAAGCTGGAGATTTGTAATAAGAACAAGGATACTGGTACTGTTGTAGTGCATAATGCTGACCATCTTGTTGAATCATTGGAGAAGAGGAACTGGGCGGTGAATATGTTCCATATGGTGCATAACCATAACCTTGATGGTACATATAAGAGCAGTTGTCTCCATAAATACCCTGTCATTATATCCAACAAACAAAATCTTTATTATATGGCTAAAAGCTTCCCTTTCTTTCTTGAATCTTTTGAGAAACAAAGCATAACATAGAAGGATAAAAACATAATAAAAGACACAAGATGGCAGCACTTTGAAAAAGTGCAGAAGAACATGGTTAGCTGCTACGTTTTGTTACCATAACAGTCATTTAAATTCAGAATAGCTGCAACAAACACACACTCATAACTTTTATGGTGGCTGGCCGGCCCAGTTTAGAACTCTCCGAAATAACCAAACACAGGTTAAAGAAGCAGCTAGCACCAGTATACCATCATTTAATTATAAAGCTAACATGTGACAGAAATTTTGGTGGGCCTCGTCCAATGGACCCTAGGCAACATTATTCTTCAAATGATCCAACAAATGATATGCAGTACAAAAAAAAAACAATAATCACAAGACTGGAAACTAGAGAACAAGGTTCTTACCTGAGTCATCCTTCCATCAAGGTTCATATATCTGGAATAAACGTTCCAATCACCTTGCCCATCATAACCTGAAACATAATCATCATCGTATTTCTCCAACAGTCACTGCACCCTTTTTGTGCAGTCAACAACATATTTATCCTCAAAAGCCATAGCAGCTTACCTTACCTCCATAATAGTATGCCGAAGGGTATCCATTTGGAACAAAGCTTGAATTTGGATTGAACGGCTTGCCCATCCCTTTAGCTGCACCCTTGGAAAAACCAGGTCCATTCAGCACACGAATAGACTACAATAATCGGCCAACGTAGCACAACGCCAAACATCTAGCGCTTTAGATACCTCATTAACCAACGAAAACTGAAGGCTTAATTGGAAAGCGTTGAAGTACCTTCTTCGCACGCTCAGCAACTCCAATGGCTTTGGACTCAGAATCCAGGGTAAAATTTTGCATTAAATCTGCAGTTTCTACGTATTATGGTAAAGGGAAAAATCATTTACTTCTAATCTAAATTCATTATTCACAAGTACAAGAAGTTAAGATACCCAAAAGCAAAACACAGCAGAAAAAGGAAAAATTGAGCAACTAAACATTATTATGCAGAAAAATAAAATTAGTATACTCGTCTAGTGCTTTTCTTTTTGAGAAGAGATTTATTGACATTCTCTAGACTCTGTATAAACAGTTTACAAAAATGGAAGAAATGTAGAAAGAAAAAAAGGGTTTTGACTTAAAAGCAATTGACCACCATGTACTCTTAGTCATAACCTAAACATCTTAAAACCAAAGAATGATGCATGACTGTGATTGCAGAGAAAAATGCAAAGAAGCCCATGATCAATGAATTACACATAAGATGAGGAGAGAATACCCAGATGGGGCACCTAGCAAGCATGCATAGCACAGACAATCGAAGAACAAAGATTGAAACTTTCAGCAGTGGGCAACACGGGAACGAAAAAGAAAAAAGAGGGTTTTGAGGAGAAAAATATACTATGAGAAGAAGGAGCAACAGCTGCCATGATAGGAACCAAAAAAGAAGGGTCGCCGCCACCAACTCCGTGTTCTTTGCGTTTGAGACACAGAAAGTGAGAAGAGGAACATTTAAGAACTTGTTTGAGTATTTATATTTTTTTATATTTAATATAAATTTCTTGATTTATTGATTTATATTACATACCAAGATTCCTTGCTTATGCCTCTTCGGTGGTAGCAAAATAGGTGGGATCGACCAAACAATGTTGAAGAGATATTTATTTAGTTTTAATTTTTAATAAAATATTTGGAGTGTAATTCTAACTGCAGACTCACTTAACATATTATATTTATATATAATTATTTAAAATTAGATAATTTATTATATTTTACTTAACTTTTTTTCTGTTTCGTTATTAATGTTTTCTCTTACCAACATTTATTTTTTTCTTTTTTAAATATTTTCCTATAAATTATCTAAAATAAAAAATTAATTAAATATCTAAAAAAAACTACTCTTTAAAATAATGTAAAATATATTTAAAGATTATTAAATTTAAATACTAGTAATATAACTTTTTAAGAATATTATTCTTTGATATTAACAAATTATTCGCATAAAATTAATTTATTTATATAAGATGGTGTCTTATTGAAAATAAATTTTCATCTTCTCATTCGTATTTCATTAGAAATATCCTCCTATTTTTCTAGATTAAGGTTAACTCTTCTTTTGGGTAAAAATTATTTATGAAACATCTAGCAAAGTCTTTTTTTTTCTTGAGAAAATACCTGATTATCAAACTTAGAAGATGTTTCCTCGTGTAAAGAGCAATTAGATGAAGTAATTTTAAAAAACTTATTTAGTTATTTAAACTTTCTTCAAGATGATACAATTTATAGAATAATTTTTTTTTTTGTTACCTACAATCAAGAAAGAGAAAAAAACCAACAGTTGGATTAAGATATACTTAGAGATTTGTTACACAAATCTCAAACATATATGTAGATTCTCATATTCATAACATTTATTACATAACAAAAATATCATATATATTAATATATATATAATCGTAATAACACACAATTAATTTATGATTATTAAGTTATAATCAACATTAAATAAATATAATTTACTATTTAAAATAATTTTGTAAATGGCCTATTAATAATATAATTTTATTATTTAGAGATGATCTAATTATGGTTCAGAAACTTTTTATTATTATTATTCACTTTGTTTCTTGTACTTAAATATAAGAGGGTCTTCTAGATGGACTTTCCTTTTTTTGTAACAGAGTTCAACTCAATAGATCTCAAAATAAAAATTATCTACATTGATTTGTCCGAGTTTATTCATTATTGTAAATTTTTTGTAAGAACATCTAACATTCATTGTGAGACAGGTAAAAGTTGTCTTACTCACATGAATTAGGGACTTTGATTTTTTTTTCAAATTATTTTATCAATTTCATGAAAATAAAGGAATAATAGTTGTTATTGAAAAATAATATATATTTCAATTTATATTTTTAAGTAAGTGTTGATCGATAATAATTATTTATATCTTAAATCATTTGAAACCTCTAATAAGAGGAAATGAAATTTTTTTCATGTAGAAAGAAATAACTATCTCTTAATCAATCTTTAAAAAATTTTAATACTCTCTCAAATGTATGTTATGATGGCATAAATAAGATACAAATGTCACAATAAAAAAAAAAAAAAAGGAGATATTCAATGTCAAAGAAAGTGAAAAGGTATGTATGCTAATTACAATTATAAATGATATGGTAAGATTCATAATATATATGGGTTGTTGATAATGTAACAACAAATAATATGATATTTGATTATAAAAAGGTCATTCAAATTAAATTATCTACACAAAATTGTATTTATAAAAAAATCCATATTATTAAAAAAGAATATATGAATCTTATTTGATTTTATTTTAGTTATCTTTTCCTTAAACTTTAATATTTATCTATTTGCCAAACAAAATTGTTTTATCCTATATGGTAATTTTTTTGGTAAAATTATTGTCTTTTTAAAGACATTCATACAAAACAATTTATTAGATACTATGAGGTAGAACTTACATTATACAAAATAATTTATGAGTCACACCAAGTTTAAACATGAATAATAATTATTAAAAAATGTCACTTAAATATATTATTATATCATAACAATTATTTAAAAACATCATTTGCGCATATCATTATGTCATAATAATTATTTGAGACTCTATAACCTCCTTTGTGTATAGTTGAAGAATATGTTCTACAGTTTGGAATTTTGTAATAACTCTAAATTGAGCACATTTCAAACACACATAAGTCATTGATCTAAATTAAACTTACATCGACTTTAATTATATTTTCTAAAATATACATTTGTTAATAAAAAGTTATAATAGTTGAATCGATTTAGTCACACCTACAACAAAGATCAAAATTATTTACTCAATTAAAAAAAGTCTTATAAAATTCTATAAATGAGACTTACTTAATCAACTTATTCGACTACACTAAAGTTAGACTTTGAGTTCGGAAGACTTATAGATTCCTAAATTCATATCAATGTTTGTTATGATAATAATGCATAATTAATCAACCTGATTACTCAATTGTAATCAACATCAAACCGAAATAATTTACTATTTAAAATACCTTGGTAAAAGACCTATAAATAGGATCACTCTATTGCTTATAAATGGATTGATTCTCATTAAAAAACTTTTCTATTATTATTATTATCATCTTTCTTGTACTAATTAAAGTATTAGAGTGTCTTTGTAGATGAATTTTCCTCTTTTTTTCAAGATTCAGCAAAACTCAACAAAATAGATCTCAAAATGGTAGTCATCCGTACCGATTTGTCTAAGCTTATTCATTATTGTAAATTTTTTATAAAAACATTAAGTTTCCAAAAATTTCTAATTTAAGAAAAATATGTCTCATAAGAAAAAGTCAATCAATAAACTAACAAGCGTCTTCATTAAATATCTCATGACTATAATCAATCACCAAAATTATTTAAAATAGGATATTTTAAACACAATATTTTGATTAAAGCATTCTAACAAAAAGTATTATGCCACACAAACAAAACATAAATAAAAATCCTCACTACCCACAAAATGAGGAATTAAGAAAAAAATATTGGAAAGAATAACATAAGATTGAGAGATGGTAATGAGTAAAAGATGAAGGATATGACTTTTAAATGTCCTTAAGCTTTTGAGAAGATAAGAAAGGGAGAAATTTGAGTATCAAAAGAGTGAAATTTTCTAAAGAAAAAATGAAGAGCTAACTTAAGATTGAAAGATTAAAAAATAACTTAAGATTGAAAGACTAAAAAAATTCAATATTTTTCATGTAACACCATGTATTTTAGTATAAATTATTTTATTAATTACTAGTTAATAATACAAGTAGTATACTTACAAGTGTGAAACTAATTCATTTTTACCATATTAAAAATTAAAGCTTTAAATACTTTGTTATATTTGTAATTAAGTATCAAACTAATTTTTAATATTTATAATTAGTTTTTTCATAAATTAATTAAATTTTGTTAATACTTTGTATTTTGATGTAAATTTACTTAATTAACTCACAGTTACTAAGAATATTGTGTAGTTTATGTTTGTTTTTATGATAAATTTATTATTAGGATAATTTATGAAGAGAAAGATTAATTGTGAATTATTTTGTTCCAAATCTTAGGACAAATTATATTTAGAAACATTAAACTTCAATTAAAAGTCAGTACTCATTACTTACAAAAGTATATGGGCTTCTAACTTCTTTGCATCAAATTTTTTTATTGATAGAGAAGGAATTAAGGTTGAATTAATAATTCTATCATGTGAATATATATATATATATATATATATATATATATATATATATATATATATATATTCTTTATACTTGAGTACTTAGAGGTATGATCTTTAATAATGAACTATCATATTGTTGGTTTCTTATATTTTATCCTTATTATGATTTCAAAGTCTAAACACCGTCATCATTATAAAGACATATTTTTTAGTTTTTAAAAATAGTTTTAGTAATCAACTTTGAAGAACTATTTTTTAGGAATAATTTGAAAAAAAATTGATAACTCTAATTTAAAAAATGTGTTTTTTATGGAAGATGATGACATTGACAACAATCATAAATTAGGAGGAAAGTTGGAAAACAAGAGTATGGTAACAAACCTATATATTGGAAAAATGACAATAATTTATATTAGAATTTAAACAACTTATTATATGAGTCTAATTAGGGAATGAGAATTGAGTCTCATGTCCAAAGAATATAAGATTCTTTATATACTTTTTTTCCATAATAAAAATAATTCAATTTTTAAAGCTTAACTTTGTAGAGACATTCTCTATAAGTTTTTGTGCAAAATTTCAATTCATATTTTTTATTCTTGTTCAATTGGTGAAAGAGATCAATATCAATATATGTATGAAAATATTAATCTTTCTATAAACTTTGTAGTTATGTTATTACATGTTATATGTTTGTAATATTATTTTTTTGTTATATGTTAATTATATTTGTATGAGAGATTAGTGGTAAGGAATCCACTCATCTCTATAGCTAATTTTTCAAGAAAACAATAATGACACCCAAAAAATGACTTAATTTATAGATGAGAATTAACTTTGTAAAATGTTCATACTTTATCTTATTTTGGTAGAAACATGCTCTACATGTAAGATTTTTTATTTTTTTTATAAGAGAGAAGTTCTATATAACATTGTAGGTATCACAATGGAAGCATGATATCTAACTATGATGACATCTCATGTTTCAACTATAATATGTCCTATGTCAATGTTATTGAAACAAAAACAAAAAAAAACACAAAGATACAATTCATGAGGCACCAAACCAAAAATTTGTGACCAAATTAAGTGACACAAAATTCTAGTAGACCATATATATTTCTAAAATAGGATTCTCTAACATATGTGGACAAATTGTCAAGTTAAACAAAATCTTATCTAATGTTAATACCTAAGTTGGAAATTTTATTAGCACATTTATTGTCTTTCCTAAAATATGGAAAAACCTAATTTTGTCATATTTTACTAAGTATCAAAGGAACTATGTTAGGACTAACTAATGCATGAATGACCAACTCAAAATCACAATCGGTGGTACCAACATTTTATATGAATTTTCGGGACAACTCAGTGATTATTAATCTTAAAATATTTTAAAACTTTGAGATCTTTTATATTTACTCATGACCTTTTAAGATATCTTGTCACCAAACACAACATCATTTTAAACCTATCTCAGGACACGATACATGGATAATGAAATATTCTTCAAATATAATATATTTAGTTAAATTATGGGATGTATGTTTTGTTTTTGTTTTTTTAAATTAGGCTATGTAATTATAGTATTATTTCACATGTAAATATATTTATGAATAATAGATGACTTTAATTCAAAAAATATAATTATTATTTATAGAATGAATAACATTATTTCTTTTCTAGTTTTGAAATTTATCTAACTATCTAGGAAAAATAATTATTATTTATTCAATAATTATATATTAAGTTAAATTGAAGGAAGTGATGATACACACTTCTAGTTAAATAATACTTTTATATCTAATTTATTTAGTTATAAGTCTTAGAATATTTTAGAAGTATTATCAATTTAATTAATTTTAATTCAAAATTATAATTTAAAAGTATCATAAAATTTTAGTTTGACAACTCATCTAACTAAATGGTTCACTTGCTTAACCAAACACAAAGAAATAAAAGTACAATATTTAACTCATGCAAAACTATTCATTTATAGAGTTGGCTTACTACCAAAATGTGGATAAGGAGTTTTCTCTCTTGGCTTAATAAGGTTCACCCAATTAGTTAGGTGACTTACTCAACCAATGTGGACAAAGAGCATCACATTTATGTTATGTAGAATTCAATGTGCTAAAGGGTTTATTTACTTATCTAAGATTGAAAAATATAAAAGATCTTTACTTAACTTAATAGGTTTTATCGAACTAAACAAGTGACTTGTTAAACCAAAATTTCATCTTGAATATTTTAACGTTTTAACTTTGCAATGAGAAGAAAGTATAAGACTACCAAACATTATTTCAAAATAATTTTTCAATTTTAAATTAAAAGGGATAAGATAAATATTTAGTTCTTTCTTAATTTAGAATAATAGAAATAAAAGAAGGAATAAAAGAGAAAACTTCATTGTTTTTTTTTTATGGTGATTGAGAAAAGGAATGAGAGTCATAGACCATGGTTTATATTGTAAAACTTTTACTTGGTTTTTAATGTGATTAATGTGACAAGTTCACACTTGTGATTAGATGATTACACAAACTATTTATCATCATTAAATGATATAAAACATAAGTGATGAGATAAGGTAAATTTTGTTCAGGATTACTTTACCCAACTGGATGATATGGATCAATTGCAAGAAAAATGACAATAGAGTAATATATGAAAAAATATAACTTTGGTTTTATTGTTACATTTTTCAAGTGATTCATGCATGAATTAAAAGAGAATCATATGACCATATATTTTCAATTTGAATGGATTTTTTGCTTGAGTACATCCCACTTTACTATTTACACTTACCAATTGCATGCATTTTTAATATATATTTGATTTATTTATTTTTTCAATTAAATACAAAGATGTTATAACTCACTACCTACAATTGGAATATTCTTTTTACTAACTTCTTTGTACTATCACAAGTATAAGTATTCTTTCATAACTCTTTCAAAACATTACCACACATATTAGTATTCTTTTAACAATAAGTTGCTCTTAACTTATACTCATGAATCTTCTTTGATAATAAATTTCTTTGGATTTATGCATAACAAAAATGTTCGAAAAGATAATATTTATAACACTTTCTCTTTGGATCTTATATTTAATATCTCAAAAATTAAATATAACTCATGAAATTTATATTATCTTAAAATATATATAATAAGAATCACGATCTTATCTCTTTATAAAGTAATTTCAATAGTGATAATTTTTCTTTTCTATTTATAAATGATATTATAAGGATTAAACTTCACAACTTCACTTTCTTATTTTATTATGCTTATTAAATAATTTTTTTCCTTTTCTCATTAACATCATTCTTTATCATAATCATTTACATATCATTAATAATTACAAAAAATATTTTTATAATAATAATTGTTTAATTTAATATATATTTGTTTTCATGAGTAATAAGTTATCACACAAACTAAATTATTTTAAAAATCACCTAAAAATTTTGAAAGATGAAAAATATAATTCAATTTTTATAATTATAATTATTTTAAGTTAAATTTTTTAATGAATAATATATTATCACATAAGTTAAATCAATTTTGGAGATAACATATTACAATTTTGTAGATATGAAAGAAAGAATGAGATTTAATTTTTATATCTATAAATAAACTTATAATATAAGATACATAATGTTAATTATAAAATTTAAATGTTGATATAATTGGTTTAAAATTCTTAACTTTTTTTGTGAGTGTTATAATATTTATTATTACTAGTTTTTAGGTATTCTTATGGTTATAATTATAACAATATCCTTTTAAATTAGATATATAATTTTCAAATAGTTCAAAGTTTCCTGTATATAAAAAATATTTTTTTTAAACCTATGAAATATCATATTGAATTCTTAAATCGTCATTTAACAATTACAAAAAGTAATTTGTACATAAATGTAATAAATTAAATTCGCATAAATATGATTGTATCTTATTTATATTTATTAATTAAATGCATTTTTAAGTTAAACATATTCATCAATTAAATTTTAAAATATTTTAATTTAAAATTCATGTATACATTATTATATTGAGATTTGATATCCATTAATGTTATTAAATTAAACCAATAACAATTATGAATTTATTTGAGTATGACTATTAAGTATTGAAGTACATGATGACTATTGTAAGATTGAATTTCAATTAACTGCTAAGAGAATTTAATATTTTTAAAATAAATAATAAGAATAATAATTTATTTATTTTTAATTATTGATTCAAAATAAAGTTGTAAAATAGATAAAATATTACTATTTAATATGAAAAAAAATCAAAATTGGCATCAATTATCAAGATCATGTATAAATAACATTATTTTCAGTAATTTAATATTAAATTATAGCTGGAATTATTAAATTGAATTACATTTTAATAGTTGTTATAAAATTGATGGATATATACGATATAAAAAATTACATTTGACAACGATTGCATAGTTAAAACTTCGATTACCTAATGGTTAGGAAAACTCCAAATTCCTTTTACAATATATAATATTTAAATAGTTATTATTATAATATTTAGGATAGTATTCATGATTCGAATAAATTAATTTAAAAGATATATATATATATATATATATATATATAATGTATTTTTAATTTATATGCTTAATTATGAATTCAAAAGAAAAGAATACAAGAAAGAAAATATACTACTTAAAATTATTAAATTTAATATTTAATTATCAAAATATAAGAAATACTAATGTTTTGATTATTTATTAAATACAGTTATTATAAATGTTAACTTTAATCAATTATTAGAAAACTTCCAAATAACTGAAAGAAAGATCCTCAGACTATTTAACATTAATATGCAACAAATAATAACGTTATTTTATCTAAAACATTCATAACGGTAGCATTCAAGGAGTGAATAATTCTAAAATTATTGTTATTACCCAAATGGTGTTTTCATTATGTTGTAAAACTAAATATATCAAAAGAAATATAAAATCTAGTAAAAAAGAGGAAAAAAATAAAAATAAAAATCTTACACAATCTAACCCATAAGTTCCTTTTTTATATCACTGTCTTGAACAAATAAATGAACTAATAATAATGCATGGGCAAGTTAAGATAAAAAAGTACAACAAACAAATTAATTAACTGCTAAAATTTAAATCAGCAAAATGGAAGAATTTAATCGAACCCCACAGAATGTGATTATTGTAATTATTGTAATACCGTTATCTATCTTTATACATTCATACATACATGTCAATCACCCAGTATCAGTCTTCGTAACTTCAATACCATGAAAAGTCAAACAAAAAACAAGGGGAAATAATTATACACTTTTTAAAATTTAAGATTAAAAAACATTATAATAAATATCGAAGGAAATTTTAATTTTAAAGTTAATATATTATAAATGAAGAAAATTAAGGAAAATATAATAAAAGTATTGTTATAATATGTTTTTGGTGCGAAGGAGAGGCACAGTTGCATTGGTGTATAAATAAACACAAAAGAAACAGTTTCTCTCACACACAAACCCACACGTACACAACCAACAACAACAATAAACTCACCATTACCGCATTCTCTCTTTGAAAAGAAAAAAAAGAAAAAGAAAAAGAAAAGAGAAGCAGAGATAACAAAAACCAAACAAGGGTAACCCATATCTTCATCTACCTAATATACTCTCGCGAACCATTCTTTCTTCTTCTTCTTCCTTTCGAACCCTAAATTTCTCCATCACGATGCTTTCGTCATAGTTTCCTTTCGCTCAATCTTTCAAAGCCTCTCCACTTTTTCCTCTTCCACCATTACGCATTTTCCGTCCTTTCCTCACTCTTCCCTTCACGATCTTCACTTCGATCGCCCTCGCTTTTCGTCCCTACGTGCATCGCTCCCCGATCCTTCCATTTCCGCAGCTTGTCGAATCGATCTGTGAGGTTTTTTTTGCCTTTCTTTGTTCTGCAGAGTTTGGATTATCTATGTTTTTATTTTATTTTATTTTATTTTATTTTAATTTGTGAACTTTTTTGTGTGAATCGGTGTGAGATAGATGTTACCGGCGAGTGTGTGCGATGACGGTTGTTGGAATTTTTAATCTTTTTTGTGATTTTTTAAAATATTTGTGATTTTTGAATGATCGGATTGAAGATTGGCTGATTTTGTTTCTTGAGTGTCCAATCTGGCTTGAACTTTTTTTGTTTTGTTTTTGGTGGCGTCGGCGTTTCGGATGAATCAATCGGCGTTTTTTGGAATTTGTCTAATCTGTTATAGTTGTGGAGATTAGAATAAGAACTTGTTTTTGTTTTTTTGTTTTTGATTCTTTTTATTGTCTTGGTTTTCTGTGAAATAGTTTAAGATATTGACCGACAATGATGATGTAAGAAGTGAGCGTTGAGTTTGGAATGCAGAAAGTGACGGGTTTCATTGTATGCTTCTAGGGACATTCTTTTGGTTGTGGAGTATATTTTGCTGAAAAGGGAATATTTTTTTCTTCGTATCGACTGCTTTTTCAGTACGCTACTATCTTTATGTTGTTATCTATTATGGGCTGACTGAGGCTGGTTCCTTAGATATTTTCTTGTGTTTAAAAATTTTCAGTTGATCTTGAGGAGGTTATGCTCTTGTTGCTGAAAAGGCTTCTCAGTGAATGCTTTGAACTCATTTGTCTGTTTGCTTTGATTTTGTCATCGCAGAGGAATTTTGCCATTCTTTGGGAGCTACTCAAGTGTGCTATGATTTGAATGGGGAGAGGATGCCAGAGTTGAGAAGTGGAGCTAGAAGGTCGAAACGGCTTGGAGATCTTCAGCCTGGTCCATTACCTGTTGAGCAAGGAGAGAATTGGGCACAACCTGCTCAGAATCGAACTAGGAGGAGAGTTGGAGGTGGAAGAGGAAGAGGTGGTAATGCCACAGCTGTAGGCAAAGGGCCTTCACCAGCTGTACCCACAAGGAGAACTGCAGCTGGTAGAGGCCGTGGAGCAAGATTGATTGATCTGGACCCTGAACCTTGTGAAGTGTTGCCAGAACCTGTTGCTTTAGGGGTTCCGGAACCAGTTTACAATCACGTAGAAGTAGTGGCCAATAATAATATTGTAATGGAGGGTGGGAGTGCAGATAAGGTGGCAGTAGCTGAGGAAGAACCCAGCACAACTCCTGTTCCCGAGAGGGTATCCCCGAGTTGCATGTTACTTTTCTTGTATTGTATTATTTCCCTTTCCAAATATAACTGCAAATTTGTTTTAATAATGTGATTGAACTATTTTCAGTAACAATAATTATGACTGCTATCTTCTTTAATTTTATTAGGTATGCTGGGGCTGGATATAAGGGTTATATTACAATATTTATTGCATTTCATGTCTTTTTTCGTATCTGTTAACGTGTTGAATTAACACTCATTTGGCTGTTCAGGAGAAAATTTGAGTTGGTAATGCAGACTTTCTTGAACATATTTATAGAATAACGTTTATTATGTTTTGGAATTATTCCAGACTGCATTGCATTTAATGTTTTTAGTTCAGATTTGGCAGTACTGTGTTACCTTATTTGAGGTGAATACTTTCAGGTACAAGTTGGTAACTCTCCTATATATAAGATAGAAAGGAAATTGGGTAAGGGCGGTTTTGGTCAAGTTTATGTTGGCCGAAGGGTAAGTGGGGGCTCTGATCGAACAGGTCCTGATGCGGTTGAGGTATTACTCAGGATTCCAGTTTCTCATTAAGGATTTAATGAAGTATTATTGAACCTATACTGAATGATACATTGTTTTTTCTTGTTTTAACCTTCTTTACATACAGGTTGCACTTAAGTTTGAGCACAGAAACAGTAAAGGTTGCAATTATGGGCCTCCTTATGAGTGGCAAGTTTACAGGTGAGAAAATATAATTTTAGCTTCAATTGCTCTATTGCTACTATATAATTCTTACTTTTGTATTTTTGACATTGAAAAGTACTCTGAATGGCTGTTATGGAATTCCCTGGGTTCATTACAAGGGCCGACAAGGAGATTTCTACATTTTGGTGAGATATAGTTTGAATTTTCCTACATCAAGCATATATTGACTTGCTCTTTATTGTCTAAAGTAAAACAATTTATTTCAGGTCATGGACATGCTTGGGCCCAGTCTTTGGGATGTATGGAATTCTCTTGGCCAATCGTAAGATTTGGACTCTCCCTTTTAATATCCCAACTTATTTAAACTCTTCCAACATTTGCCCCCATTAACTTTTTGTTTTGAACAGAATGTCACCTAGTATGGCTGCTTGCATTGCCGTAGAGGCTATATCAATTCTTGAGAAGCTGCACTTGAAAGGGTAAATCATTGTTAGTTTTTTAGTCCTGTCTATCCTAAAATTCTCATTTATTTTGACCTTGTTATGATTGGTTAATCTTTTTAATGGAACTCATACCATTAAATCAGGTTTGTGCATGGTGACGTGAAACCAGAGAACTTTCTACTCGGGCAGCCTGGATCTGCTGACGATAAGAAACTATATCTTATTGATCTTGGTCTGGGTATGTTATGCTTTCAAACCAGTTGTTGTTTTACCTTGGGTTTGACTTTCTGTTTCACCACTGATTTTTATTTATTTGGAGTTACTTGATATTTTCATGGCTCATTAATGTCCTTTCCATGGATTTCTTCAGCTTCTAGATGGAAGGATGCATCATCTGGTCAACATGTTGATTATGACCAGAGACCTGATATATTCAGGTCTGTAAATATATTGAGTCAACCTTTGTATGCTTTGTTTCCCATGGCCATATTTTGTTTTGACATATGCATACTATGCCTTGTGCAGGGGAACAATAAGGTATGCTAGTGTACATGCACATTTGGGCAGAACTGGAAGTCGAAGGGATGATCTTGAGTCTCTGGCATACACTCTAATATTTCTCATAAAAGGGAGATTACCTTGGCAGGGTTATCAGGTGCTGTTCGTATTATATTGTTTATAGTGATTCTTGTGTCTTAGTTGTTTCTTTTTATATGATGTAATTTCTCTCTATTGGCAGGGTGACAATAAAAGCTTTCTTGTTTGTAAGAAAAAGATGGCCACTTCCCCGGAGTTGATGTGTTGCTTTTGTCCTGCTCCATTTAAGCAGTTTCTTGAAGCTGTTACTAATATGAGATTTGATGAGGAGCCAAATTATTCCAAGCTTATATCATTTTTTGAAAGCTTGATTGAACCGTGCACTCCATTGAGACCTATCAGAATAGATGGAGCTTTAAAGGTGGTGGTTCTGATATTCCTTTTTGGGGGGTTAAAGGTTATCTACGTTTATTGATTGCAATGTGTAAAAGAATACTAATTCTGTTGTATAAATAGGTTGGTCAAAAACGAGGTAGGATGCTTATAAATCTGGAAGAAGATGAGCAACCTAAGAAGAAAGTGCGATTGGGGAGTCCTGCTACTCAATGGATATCAGTGTATAATGCACGCCGTCCTATGAAACAGAGGTAATTATATTACATTACCTTTTTCTGGCTTTGTTCTTAATAGTGTTCCACATTATGTGTTAAGTTATAAAATTTTCTTGCTTTAATGCCAAAGCGGATGAGTGTTGTTGCTTGATTGGGCCGTTCTTTCTTTTTGCTATTAAAAATTTGTCATGGCTCTCAAGAATTTCTTGCATTCCTCACTATTGGATTGGGCTTCCCTAATTTGACACACCTGTGAGGCCATATGAAGTCAGCTATATATGTGTGTTGTAGCCTCATTATGAAACTAGCCATCCTTCATACCCTAGCAATAGAAGGAAACAATATTGCTAAGTTGGCCAATGGCATCAATTTGAAGCAGAATGCAAATAAATGAGTAAAAAGAGCACACTGAGGAGACCTTTTCCATGACAGCACAAAGCTCTAACCTGACTTTTTTCTAGAAAGTTCAATAGTTGTGTTTTTAAGAACAAGTTTGAAGGACATTTTGTAAATTTAAGCTTCAAGATTTTTCTCCCTGACTGTCATGATCTTAAGTATAAATATGATTGTTAGTACTCTCTATCCCATGATTACCTGGTTTTTGGGTTTATGGATTTTTTCTGTCTATATTGCTTTTATTATCATTGCATGCCACTGATAATTGTTTTAAACAATGCAGTAATGCTTTTTAATTACTAGTAGGTGTTATATTTATCTTAAAAGGAGTAAATGTTTACATGATAGATTTCCCAACATAAGCATTGGCATATTAATTTACGGAAAAAAATGTTTATTTTGCCTGGTCTTGTCTTAAATAACATTTTTTCTTTGGTGGCAGATATCACTATAATGTTGCAGACACTAGGCTCAGGCAACATGTCGACAAGGGTATTGAGGATGGGTTGTATATAAGCTGTGTGGCCTCTGCAGCAAATTTGTGGGCTCTAATCATGGATGCAGGAACTGGTTATTCTTCACAAGTTTATGAGTTATCTTTGGCCTTCCTGCACAAGGTGTGTTTTTTCTTCCTTGATTTATATATTTCATTTTTTGTTATGTAAATATAAATATTTACTAGTTAAATAATTGATGTCTTTGTGCTGATCTGCTGGTATTTGATCTCTCTCAGGATTGGATAATGGATCAATGGGAAAAAAATTACTACATCAGTTCAATCGCTGGTGCGGTTAATGGGAGTTCCTTGGTTGTCATGTCCAAAGGTTTATATAGTTTTATGACCGACTCCTCCTTCATATACTATTGATTAATTTACCTTGAAATTATGCCTTGACTAAATCTACATACCTTGTCATTGTTTACCAATCCTGGGGTTGCAAGTTTTACCACCATAACCTTTGGTGGTCATTTCTAATTTTAAAATTTTTGTCCCTTTTTAAATTGTTTATGCATAGGTGTGGTGTGAACTTTCGAATATATCATATTTTTTGTTCGCATGGAGGTTGTCATGCCATCTATTTTGTGTCTGAGTAATAATAACTTGCAACAGTGCATTTACTGCATGATGTTATTTTTAATATCAATTTAAACTTCACACCTTGTATTGCATTATGGAAGACAAATTGATTCTTACATTATTCAGTCTTTATTCTAACCTGTATGCATCTCAATTGCTACCTAATGAAAATGAACTTTTCTTGCAAACAACATTAGTCATAGAAGCTGACAAGCTTTTAATTTTCTTTTACCTCGTTTGATTTCTGGAATGTAAGAAACATCACCTGTTCTTCAAAACATGACTTTCTGTTTGTTATCTCATGTTTATAGGAACTCCTTTCACGCAGCAGTCCTACAAAGTGAGTGAATCGTTTCCTTTCAAATGGATAAACAAGAAGTGGAAAGAAGGATTCCATGTTACCTCAATGACTACTGCTGGCAGTCGCTGGGGTGTTGTTATGTCCAGGAATTCTGGGTATTCTGATCAGGTATCCAAATCTTTTAACCTTTAATTTTCGGTTTATGTATTAATTTTTTAAACCCAGGTTGTTTACTTTTTTGTTCGATGATGCAAGGTTGTCGAGATTGACTTTTTGTATCCAAGTGAAGGAATCCATCGTCGATGGGAGAATGGTTACCGGATTACTTCTATGGCTGCGACTAGTGATCAGGCAGCCTTCATACTGAGCATACCAAAACGCAAATTGCTTGATGAAACTCAGGAGACACTTCGTACATCTGCTTTTCCTAGTACCCATGTTAAGGTATTTCCAGGTCTATTAATTCTATGTTGGGGACCTGTGCAGTTTGAGCATACATGTTGGTGTTTGCTGATCCATTTTTGGGTTGGTTATTTGTTTATTTAAAATTCTTAATTTAGAATATGGCTCCTGGTTAAATTAGATCCAACAATTACAACGAATAAAAATATATATAATTACCGTGATGTAAATCCTGTTCTTTTTCATGGTCAAAAGGAAATAAAATATTGACAGTTTTCTTTGTTGTGCTACCGCTGTTATTCCTTTTTTATCCTCTCGAGTTCCTTGGTCCTCTTTCAAAATTTTAATTAGGATCTGGTGATTACTGCTGTTGATTCTCTGTAGGATTTTTGTCATACTGCTGTTGATTCTCTAGGATTTCCCCTCGCTAGGTATTAATATATTTTTATTCCTTTGCAGGAAAAATGGGCCAAAAATCTCTACATTGCCTCTATATGTTATGGGCGAACTGTTTGCTAGCTTCTGTAGTGAACATTTGCTGTATCCCTGAAAAACGAGGCAAATTTATTATGATGAGAATATTTTCATGATTATTAAGTTGGAATGGGTAGGTTTGCTTTTTACCCCAGAATCCAGTCACAAAATCCCCTCCCATGTTAAAATTTCGTTATAATTGTATTAAAAAAAAAGAGTTAAGGAGAACGGTCAGAATTATGATGGTGAGAGCACCCCAACCAACCCAAGCAAATGGGAGCAATGATCTATTGAAGAGTGGTAACGTAGGGTTGGCTATTTTCATGGTCGTGCTTTAAACAATTTAAGATTTTGTATGTAATGGTATAAAGTTTTACCAACATCAAACTTAACAATGGATTCGAAGATAATAATGATTTTGTGGAGTAACTTCATGCGATCCTGGACCTAGTGGTAGCCGGTATGCACTCTCTAAACGACGTAATAATCTTTTGGGGGGGGGGTTCACTTGGTGCTCCAAAGGCTTTTTCTTTGACCGCGTTAAGGTACTACTAGTAATGGTGCGCGCGGCCAGGTTTGGTGGAACATAACTACGTCTGAAGCTGTTTTATTAGTACAACATTTTTGTAGGAGTATTCGCTTCAGGAAGTTGAGTATTCGAAATTCTAACGAAAAAGAAGCAACATTTTAAAATTGTGTATGTTTTATCCCTATTTTCTATGTTTCTCTCTCTTTTTTCTGCTTTCTATGTTTCTCTCCTCTCCTGATCTTTAAAGGTGGATTCTATGGTGGAATGTCAGACATGTGGTCTATTCATAAACTTTCCTTCTAACTCTCACACCTACCCTCTTTCTTTGTCAATCCATCGTTTAGATCTTTGTCGATGATGGTTTTTTCCAAGTATCGTCACTCCAACCATGACCACTCCTCCTTCTTCAACCTAACAAGTGTTTGCTGTGTGTCCCATCCTTCCATAGTATTCGCAGACTATAATTGATTTTGGACAATGTTTCATCATATGGGCTCCTCTACAGTGAAAACATTTGATTGGGTTTGTAGTTCCACTTCCTTGGACTCTGACACGGTTTACTGTTGTATCCTTGGTGCCTTCCGTCATACATGCTAGCGCCCTTCAACTCTAGAAGCGTATTTCCTTACCTTAATTCTAAAAATTCTTTTACTTTTTGTTTCCTCATATCCTTTGGAAGTAGCTTCCCAAAGGAAACTATGAAATTCTCCAGAGGTATATATTTGTACTCCCATAATAAAGTTTGACTTCAAACTTTCATCAGTCTTCTTTGATCAAACTGTACTTTGCGTACACTACTTTATGTTCATAATATTCCATAGTATTGAAATTTTTCTCTATTTCTGAAATTCAAAATAATGAGATTTTACGTACATATACTTTCTCAGTCTTCAAAATAATTCCCTGAAATTAGAATATTAGATTAATGAAGAATCATATAGGAAACATATTATCATCCTAGTTAATAATGGGAAAACATACAAATTAAAAATATAGATTTTACATAAATTATATCTTAATTAAGTAGGTTATTTACTACAGGGAAAATAAGTTAATCGGTCTTACCTCTATCTAGATTAAAATACGAAAATACTAATATTTCTTAAAGACATGGTTTATTTAGATAGATATTGTAATTAAGCTAATCTTAGATTCCTTTATGGTGTAGTCATTATGCTCCTCTCTTCCATACCACGTAGTAGTATTAATATCATACATAATCAAGTAGAAAATATTATTTAATAAAGTATAATGTTAATATTTAATAAAATTCAAACAACATTGTTCGAATAAAATATATTTTAATTATCAATCCGAAAACTATATACAATTAAATAATCAATATTTCATCTATTAAACAATTAATCTAAAAAAAGCATTTTACAATTTTATATACGTTACACAAATTTCAAAATTAATTCATGAAATGGATTCCACCATATTTTCACTACACAAACTCAACAACACCATAATCACAATAGTTTTACTACTCTAAATATAATTAGGCCATGTGGATGATTGTAACGGATACACATTATGCTTCTTGTAATTGATTCATTGTTTATTTCTTTTCTTGAATCAATTGTATGTTTAGGAAATTTTATAAAATGTTGTATGTTTGTGCAACCACAAATTTCAATTTTATAATATTTTATGTTGTATTAGAAATCATATTTAGTCATTTTATGTTCATAATTCTCTAGATGTTATCCCACATTTTTTGAAAATTAAATTATTGTATGATAAATATTGAAACCGAGTCTTTGTATACTTAGGAACCTTTAATCGTGTCAATGTTGTATTTTTATTTTTGTTGTTCTTTTTGCTATTAGATCATTGAAAAAAATATTATAAAAAAAATTATACTTTGAATTGTACAAGTCGTGTTGTTTACATTAGTTTCCTCTAATTTTTTAAGTTGAATAAATTGTTTTGAACATGTCATGTATGCTAACATGTTTCAGACTTAGATAGTATTACTTGAGTTGCTTTATAATTGATTGTTTGACAAAGGCTTAGTCTCACAAGAAAAATAGAAAAGCAAACAAAATTTTGAATGGAAAAGAAGATTAAAATAAAAAAGAAATAAATGTGTAAAAGCCAAGACTTAGGAAAGGAAAAATTAAAAGAAAAAAAAAGTTTGTATGCAACTCATGCTTAAGTCGCACACTCCTTAAATCTAGTATTTGAAATGAAAATTGCATGATTAAAGCAATTCTTAGGAGTGTATTTTGCCTTTTGTGTGTTTTGGCCAAAACATGTTTAGACTAGTTTAAATTTGATTCAACTTATGTCTTTGTTTTTGTAATCAAATCTAAAATTATTCTTTATGATTCTTTTGTGTGCTTACTTTTAAAATTCACCTTAAGTTTCTTGTTTGTCTTTGTTGACTATCTTAGTTTGTCACATCTTATTCTAATAATTTGGTTGTATCCATTTCTTGTTGAGTTTTTGTTGTGTTTTTCTCCTTGCATCTTGAATACTTGAAGACCAAAATAATATATTTTTCCCTTGTTTCTTTTGAGACTTACTCCTTCTTCAAGGTAACATCTTAGGTGTTGTTAGAAGAGGGAAAATGTTTTCTTAAAGAGACTTGGAGGATCAAGAAGCGGCTTTGAAGGGAGTGTAAACATTTAACCAAGAGAGCAACCCTAAATTTGTGTAAAAAAATTCATCAAATCTGTCACAACGAAGCCTCTGCAATAAGAAATTTTGTCTCTGACTTTTTGTTATGGATTTTCTTTATAGTAAATTTCCTTTGTTGTAATTTTATTAATTACTTTATTTTGTGTGGGTGTCTTTAGAAAGTGTCTTTGGTGCAATCCCATCTTTCATAATAAATCTTATAACAGTTAAAATGTTAGTCTTGTGAAAGTGTTCTAAGAGGCTTCATAAGTGTCACTTGGACTTTCACTCTAGGATTTCGTCTAATTTACATTTTACTTGGTTAGAATTTTCGTTGCAAGTAGACTTTAATTTTCTTGTGAAAAAATATAGGTGAGTCGTTAATTGCTTAGTTGACCTTCTTTTGGTTTTAGGGGTCAAACATATGCACACGCACAAACACTTGAAATACTTTTGCAAAAATCTTTGTCACCTCATTTTTGTGAAACTCTTTTAAAAAACTTTGTGAAATTTTTTAATAAAAAATGAGTGACCATTCTCATACACATCATTCAAGTAATTCTAGTGTGTGAGGGGATTACCAAGAACAATTGGGAAAGATATTCAGTTACGGACAAACTTAGGAATTTAGAAAAGAAAATGAAAAAAGAGATGACAAAATAAGGGCTATGTTTGACCAACTTTTAAATGAAAAAACTAAAATAGATATAAAAGTGAGGGTTCTAGGAGAAGAATAGAACACCATGATGAACCTGACTCACCATGCAAAGAGGTTTATAATAGTCATCACAGTGATAATTACTATCAACACTTCCCACTTAGAAGTCATAGGACTAGAGTGAAAAATAGGTCGAGGGAATCTAAGGTAGATCTTCCTCTCTTTCATGGAAGAGATAATGTAGAAAATACTTGGATTAGGAGATGAAGGTTAGGGATGACAAAATGAGCTAGGTTCAGTGGGCCAACAAGCTAGTACACCTTAAAAATGGTGGGACGAGTTGGTAGTTTTAACCCACCAATTTGTTTTGGTCTGCCTCGCCTAGCTTGCCATCTCGGTGGACCAAGAGCGAGGATGAGACAAGCTGACTTATTTTAAAAAAAATGTTTATATATTAAAATTAAAATAAAAATTATAATTAAAAATATTATATTTTTATGTCATATTTTTGAAATATGTAAATATATTATAATTTTATAATTTGAATTATAAATATTAACTAATTTAATTTAAATTATTGATTATAATTAATTATTTTAGCACACAAATATAGTAATTTTTAAACTTATCTATTAAAAATATTAATTAATACATACAAACTTAAAAGTTGATCATATACTTAAAGGTATATTTTTAAATAAACATATATAATATAAATTATATAAATAAACATTGGCGAGTTGGTCACTAACCCATTAGCCCGTCTTATGGCGGGGCAAGCTAGGGTGTGTAGCTTGTTCCGACTATGGCGGGCTAGCTTGCCCCGTCCCCTTTTTGGGAGGCTAGAGACAAGGTGAGCCAAAACGGGATAGATTGACCCATTTTGTTATCCCTAATAAAGGTAGAGTAATTGTTTAAGTGCCATAAAATTCATGAAGAACGAAGAGTGCCCATGACAACCCATAGTTTTCAAGGCATGCTCTACATTGATGGACTTCCCTAGTGAGAGAGAGAAGAATACATCATGAACCACGAATCATAATTGCTAGGTTCCAAAGTGGTTTTAACCTTGATATTAGGGATAAAGTTGAAATGTTATCCTATAATGATTTGAGACTACCTTACCACCTCTAACCCTAAGGAAGAATACAAGAGGGAATGTTACCCCTCCACATCTAGGGATGAAGGGTCACAAAGGGATAAATAAAAAGAAAAACAAAGAGAAAAAGAAAA